TCTTCGTACTGCCGCCGAGTCGCCTGCTATTAGCTTTAGAAATTGGAAAAAAAGTGAATAGAATTTGTCAAAAAATGGATGTTTTCAGTTTTTCAATAATAACTCGAAAAGTAATAAACTTTTTATGATTTTTATTGCATAATCAGATACACACAAACTTTTGATGTAACAAATCCAATTGAAATTTGTCTTTAATTCCACTACAATTTCTGTAATTTTCAAAATTTTCTCTGTTTCCGCGTTTCCCAAATGTTTTCCTCTCGCAATGATTTATTTCACGCAGGTAAACACAAATTTAATTAAGAGACACGGGATTAGGATTTATGTCCCGCGCCAATCCGCACCCACAGAGACGCGCATGAAAACAGATAAAGGAAAATGGGTTTCCCGCACCGCGTTTATGAGTAAAAATGATCTAATCTGATACAAAAAAACAAACAGTCCTCAAACCATTGGCGTATCGCGCGAAATTTCCCTGGTCGAAGGCGTCGCGACGTCGACGTGAATCGGATACGCCTCTGACGGCTTCCTCAGATATATAAGAATCAGGGAATCCAGAAGATCTTCATCAAAGATGCGTCGGATCTGCATCTTGGTGGTTCTGGTGATGCTGGGATGGTCGTCGGCGGCGGTGGCACGACGTCGCGACGTCGTCCCTGCATTCGTCGCCCTCGACACCGCTCTCTCCTACTTCTTGGAAAACCACGATTCAATTAACATCGACGGACTCTTCGGCGTCGTCTTCGGCCAGGGTAAATAAGTTCATTTAAGAACAATCGAATCTATTTGAACTACCCTTTTGTCGCTCGTAGCCCATCTGCAGAGCCTCCTCGCGGACGACCTGAGTAACTACGACAGGAAGCTGGTGAAGTACTTGAAGCACAAAGCGGACACAATCTATTACAGCGCGAAGCCTCGTCTCTACAATCCGGACAACTTCAAGCACAACCTCTGTGAGTTTAATCAGTTTAATCATTTCGAACACTTACCGCACTTTCGTTCGGTTCTTTCACGTGCGTAACTTTGTTTCGTATTTGACTGCTGCGTCAGGTTCACCAACTCAATGCATTATTTTTGCTCGCGTACCAACGTCAATCATAAATATCACCATATTGGACAATTGCACTGTGTACGTTCTTCTTTTTCTTTTTTTTTGTCGTGCAGTTGTCGAGAAGATTTTGGTGCCGGATCTGTGGACGCGCGACATACGTTACCGACATCTCCCGGAGAAGTTCGTGCCCGAGATCGAGTTCGATTCTGCATCCGAATACATGGACTACCTGAGTACCAGCAACATCTCCGAAACCAAATCGGATTCTTGCCTGATCGAGCTGATATCCGGCCCGAATTCCGTCCCGCACAACTGCTCCGTCTCGGAAGACTGCAAAGACTACATGGTCGACAACGACTACTTCGATCCCACCTACGGTATAACCCATCGTCTTCTCTACCTCCAATTGGCCAGATCGCAAAAGTGCAGCCTCGATGGGCGATTGTACGAGGAGAGGACGTCCGCTTACTGCAGCTACATCTATTGGGAGATCAAGCAGAATCGGAGATTCGGTTTCATGCAGGAACTCGACGATCTGCTGCTGGAACAAAGTTAGATATCATAACTAATGTGTTTATTTATTTCGTTGACGTGTTTTTACTTTGCAGTAACTCTTTGCGGTTTCGAAGGCTACGACAACTTCTTCGAGGATTCGCTCGTATCTCACGTCCTGCAGATCCAGACCCCATTCGGATGTTTCCGGATACCGGAAGCGCTCTTCGAGACGAACGGCGACGATCTTAAACGGACCGCGAACATCATCAAGCACGGATGCAACGATCACACGACCGGCTTAGGCATCTCCACTTTATCCCTAATCCTACGCTACCTACTCAAATAAACTACACTTAATCGCCGCTAATATCCAATATGAAGCACGCCTTCTTCAAATTATCAATAAACTGCTACAAATAAAGTGAATTAACGAATTATCTATAGGCAACTTACCCAACTTTTTCATCATTTACAGGCTAATTACACGAAAACCGTAACACTTACAAATCTGACGATAGGCTCAATTGAATTCCCGAACATTTAAGTTTAATTTGAGTATTCGCACTTGCATAGGTGATTGTTGAGATATTGAATTTTGCGATCTAACAAATATTTTATTTCAACGAAATCACGTAATCACTACATTTAAAGCAAGTGTACTAAATGAAGCGCTAAAGCGGCGACGCCCAAACCGGTGGAATGATCGGTGCAATTGTAAGAGATCAAATTAGTCGTTCTGATTTCAATCGAATTCCAGTATCCCTCCGAACGGTAACATCCCTCATCGTTCTGCCACGCGAAGAGTTTATCCAAAACGAACGCGTTGAGAAACTCATCGAAACCCCGCATTCCGCAGAATAAAACTAAAAACAAATTTTTAAAAAACTCACATTCTTTTTTTGGTGGATGCGCCTGGTCCGTGTGTGTAATTCACCTTGCTCCATGAAGATGTCGCGCTTCGGGAAACCGAGCGCCCGATTCGTCTTCGCTTCCTTCAACATCAACGAGCAAAAGTTGATGATCACTTCACGCGCCGTTTCCCCATCACGAAAACACTTCGCGTTCAATCCGATCATCAAATAGAACAATCTGGAAACGTAGCAGACGATTAAAATGATGATGAAAATTGCGAAAATAAAACTTACCTGTGTGACAGCAGGTATCCTGTGTCGACGCGATCCGCGAACATCATTTGTTCGCAAACGTTGCCAACCCTGCAACCTCTGAGCAACTCTTCCAAGCAAAAGTCAGTGCCGATTCCGTCGAATTCGGCTCTCCTGTTCTCGCGCACCGTTTCCCGCGTCCAATTCGCGTAAATCCCAAAATCACGTAACGAGTTTCTCTTCAATTCGATTTTGCCCATCCAAAATTCGGCTCTCAATAAAACCTTCTCAACTTAACAACAAAAAAAAACACCAAAATTTTAAATTACGACCAATCAAAACATACGAAACTTACACAGTTGGTACTTCTCCGATCTGTCCGTCAAATGCGGCTTGATTTTATTGGAGATCCGTGCGCATCTCAAGCTCAGATTATCCAAAATATTAAGCAATTTTTCGTTTCCTTTTATACGCGTTTTGGCGTTGTTTAATTGCGCTGAAATCATTAAGTTTCAATTTGATTGATTCATTGATTTAGTTTAACTGACCTTCGGCTAAGACTACTCCGAGTAGACCGTCGAAATTGAATTCGTTGGAATGCGATTCGATGAAATCCAAGCCGGAATTTAGTTTTTCGATGGTTTTCGTTAAGTAATCGCCACGATTTTGCACGAAAAACGCTGTAAAAACGAGGAGCGTATACGTGTTCATGGTGAATGCGATCTTCAACTGGACGGTTAATTAAAAGTTGCGTTATTTAATTAAGTTTATCTGGTTTATTTGATTTTAGCTACAGTTTATTGACTTTATCAGAAGTGTTTCATGGAAGTTGGGTTGCATATTTTTATAGTGAGATACAATTGCCAACAGCTGTAATCAAATTTACCTGTTAGATAATTTAAAGCGGATGATAACGAGAGATGTCGCTTGCATAAGTTTGATTGTCAAATATCGAGCGCGCTCTGCTGTTTACTTAATACTCTTTAAAAAAGATCTCGAAACAAATATACATGTTTGTGCTGTTCAATTCAGTCGACTGCTAACATAATTTGTGAAAAATATAAAAGATAATTAAGTTGCATATATTATGAACAATTGAAAGCAAATGAAGTTGCATACGTTACACAACCACATTTCTTATTTGTAAATAAAGTTACATATGTCAACAAATTGGTTAGTAGTAATACTATCAAAAAAAAGCCATCTACTGATGTTAATTATTATTACTGCTAATGGAATTTTATCATAATAAATTATTTAATTCGATATTAAAAATATTACACGCTGAAATCGCTAGTTTTTCATGAATTTTCGCACGTTTTTCAGCAAACGATCTATGCAGAATTTCACGGCCTCCGTAGCGCAGTAGGCAGCGCGTAAGTCTCATAATCTTAAGGTCGTGAGTTCGATCCTCACCGGGGGCATTTATCTTTTTTTGCTATTTAAATTGTAAAATTATTGATTTCCAATAAATAAATGTTTAAAATCATTACGTTTTTGCTGATGATAATTAAAATTGATTTAGATAAAGTGAGTTGGATCGTGGAATCGAATTTAGGCGTAACGCGTGTATCCAATTAGTCGCGCAACTGTGACGTGGCAATTACGTTCAGTTATTTACGCTGCTCTCCTGTTTCAATCCACGGATTGCTCGATCAATTAGTCGCGGCTGCGGTAACTAATTATCATTTGTTTTTTTTTTGTTTTCTTAGTTCAAAGCGTTCTTTGATTTTTACTGAAGCTGAGTTTAATCTCGCGTTTTACGATCCAATAAGATGCAGACTCAATGCCAGCAGCATTAAAACATCTGAACTAAATAACGCGCACATGTGGAGTGATCTCATAATCTCCAAATTGGAATTAATTGTAGGCCAAATCCATTCCTGAGAATGCAAATTTTTCGAACACTTCACTTGTTTCATGTGCGCGCTCTCAATTGTTTTCTCTCGCTGTTAATTAAGAGCAACCATTTAATTAATTAATAACAACCGCTGCGTAATGTTTCACAATTAAAATGAACGCATTTGAATTACAAATGGTTTTCTGACGCATCAACGGAGAGAAAAAAATTAAAAGATTTTATATATTAAAAACGTGTTTCCGCCCGGGATCGAACCGGGGACCTTCCGCGTGTTAGGCGGATGTGATAACCACTACACCACGGAAACGCTTACAAATGTTGTAGAAACGTTGCTTAGTTACTTGACACTGTTTATTGCGAGCCAATTTAAACAATTGATGTAAATCAATTTCATTCAGAACTTTGACAGTTCAAATTTGAAATTTACAAACTGTCATAAGTGACATTCTACAATCAATTGTTTGACAATTGTGACATAAAAACTGTAATGGAATTGAATTGTTGTTATTTATTTTGTTTTAGAGAGAGTTCAACGGCCGAATTAGAAGAAAAGTCCGAACGAAAATCAAGTTTAAGTATGTTAATTTTTCGTATTTGTAGGTGAATGTCGAAACTTTCTGAACGGAATTCACAAGAGGCACCGTTTCTGGTGATTTATCAAAGCGTCCGATACCTTTTGGGAAATTAAGTAACTTAACCGAACTTAATCAATATTTAATAAGTTGCGAAAAACACTTGATTGATAATTGACATTATGTGACAGTTCGGAAATTTGACAAGTCTTAAAAAAAAATTGAAAATTTAGATAGACTCATGAGACAAATTCAATCTATATTTCTAATAACAAAGCAAGCGAATAAAAAGCAGCGAAAAGGCTTATCGCCGAGCGAAAATTCCGCTTTTGTTGTTATATTTTTGTCTTTTAAAAATGTTATTCCACAATTTTCCTAATCTGTCAATTTTCGAAGTGACAATTGTATTGACAATGATGACATGATTTCAAGATTAAAATCGATTACGAATCCGAAAAGGTTTGTGAGAATTTCAGTGTGAATTGAGAAGGAATGCAGAAGATTTAATTATCAATGAGGAATGCCAGTTTCTCTTATGAAATAAAGAAAGAGAAAGATTGGAGGAAAATGCGAAAACTGTCAATTTTCAAAACAGAAACTTCATCAAGAAAGCTGTGCGTAACAAAAGGTACGAGGTGAAACAAACAAATGAATTGGTTGATTACCAATTAGAATGTCAGTTTTCGGGAAGGTGAAAGAACGGAAGGAAAGAGTTGAGATGAGATGAGATGAGAAAAGAAGTGTAGAGATCGAGAGAGAAAAGTATGCGCAGCAGATGAAATAACTGGACACGTTACGAGAGAACAGCAGCAGGTGATTGAAGAGCGAGCGAAGACACCTGGTCTCTCGATTTCCACATCACAGATACACACACACAAACATCTTTACTTTGGTCCATGACCTTCCGAAGAACACTGTACGTATATCCTCACGTACGTACGTATCGGAGATCAAGAAACTCTTAAATTATTATATTATTTAGTTCTCCATTTATTTATATCCATTTATATATATTGAAGAAGCGAACGTTTAAAAACTTCGATGAAACTGTGCAATCGCGGTTTTTACGTACAGGATGTGTGAGCGTGTTTGACGGATAACAAAATCTAATCGCCTATGGGTTTTTTGTTTTAAATTTTAAACTCCACATTCTTAAATATATAAATTAATTCATAACCATGGAAACTTATAAACAAAATTCACATAATCTTAACCTAATACTATATTTGACAAATAAACTGATTCGTAACCATGGAGTTATCAATCTGACAATCGATAGACATCAGCTGAGATGCATCAATACGCATAACCATGGAAACATGTGAAGATTGTTATTGTAATCGAAGCGGGTGGTGACTCAATGCGGATTGATTCATTTTTGGGGTTTTTTTTTTTTGTTCGTTTGTCGGTGCGGGGGTGCTGTGTGTGTGTACGCTCTGACTCAAACGCGATGACTCACGCACTCGGACGCGCGTTGGGGTAGGACGCCCTTCGAATGCAGCGGCCGCCGCTGCATTCAATTGTTTCGACGATCTCACGTGACGTGACACGTCCATATCCTAATGTCACGTCCAACGGGATCTGACTCACTTGATTACTCATCAATTAAGAATGATGTTTTTTTTTAAACGGAATCACACAAAATCTTCTTCACCAATAATATTAAGGTTACAGCAGAGTTCGAGCGCTCATTGCCTTATAAATAATTGTGAGTAATGAATGCGGATCACGTAACAAGTTTAGTAAACAAAAAACAAAATACATAACCAAAAATGTCTAAAAGACACAATGACAATTCTGTCATAATGACATGAATGATGACAGTCATTCATGACGACATGCAGATAGATATGGGAAAATGTTTCTGGAAATTACGAAATGACTCAAAATCATTTTACAACTGAAACATTTCCATTTCGTGACCGTATAAGGAAATGTTTGAAGTGTCGTGTATCACACATCTGTTTATCATTTGTTATGTAAACGTGCGTTTATGTCGTCGAAAAAGGAAATGATGCATCGTTACGAATTGATACCAAAGAAAAAATATTTAACAAACATTGAAATAAATTGGATGAGCAATAGATATTTGTATAATATTTGAGTTTTAGAAAACTAGAAATTATGATATGAGTAATGATTAAAATCGTGCGAAATTTGAAAAGGGTTTCCATGGAAATCGAATGATAAGGTGGCGCTTATCGTAACGGATAAGTTAAGGAAATTCCTGGAAAATTGATTTAAGGAAAAACAAATACAAACAGCTGCAATTTTTTGGAAAAAAAAACTGATTGCTAGATTAAGAATTTATTGCGTTCGAACGATCGTTGAATAAGAAATGAACGACGATGGACGTCGGACGTGCATCACTATCAGTTTTAATTCTGGATTCGTGTCAGACCGAACGAACTTGACCCACACTCTGTGGAAGCACGTGAACGAGAGATGTTGACTTGGATCAAGAGAGAAAGAGTTTCTGCACAAAAAACTGTTGTAATTCGAATGTTGCTCAAAGAAACAATACGTTTTACAGTGAGAAAAATTCGATGTTTTCTTTCGAATGGATAGAAAAAGAAGTGCGTTCCATTTTCCATATTTTTCTTTGCATCTAGTAACAGCAGCAGCAGCAGCAGCCAGAAGTATAAATGCAGTGAATAATTCAATTGTTCTTCAGTACGGAACAAATTAACGAAGAAGAGAGTCAGTCGTCGGTTCCGTTCGCCGTTTGTTTCTGCTCCAACGCCGCCCCGACTCTTTATTAATTAAGACTTTTAGGAGGGACCATTAACATACTTTACGCATTCGATCCTCATTTGTTTCTCTTTTACTCTACCACTCACTATGCGACAAAAGAAGCCTGTTTAAAAGAAAAAAGTAACCACATCATCTTCATCATCACAACGAATTCTTTCTTTATGCGTTCGACTATTTGAGTGCGTGCAAACACGACTTTCCCATAACTACAAAGAGGGCTTTCATGACTTAACGCGGTTGTTAAATTCCCAAGAATCGATCGCATACCAATTTTTAAAATTACTTTGTAAACTACGATGACAAAGTGACCTATGCAAATAACATCATTTGTTTTGACGTGTAAAACAATTGCTGAAGATGCATTTTGTTTTGTTTTAATTATTTAGGTTATTCTAATGACAGTTATTTATTAGGAAATGTAATGCCTGCTTACGAAAGTAGTTCGAATGCGAGGACGTGCGAACTCTTCGAAATGGCCGAAAGCGCGAATATCGAAGATTTAATATAATTAAATTGATATTTTGATCCGTAACCATAATGATCGAAATGGAAATATCATCTGTCAATATCAGCTGAGTCGTTACCAACAGCCGAATCGAAAATAGTACTGCTCCAAATGGAATTGTTTCATCAACAGTTACTTAATTGGTTACCAACTTAAATGGATATGGTCTCATAAAGTTTGATTCGTTTCTAATACGTTTATAATCTCCATAAATCAAAATTGTATTTTACTTACAAAATGCATAGTTCATAAATAATGAACTTGAATGCTATCAATATCAGCTGAGAAAATTGTTATGAATTCAATGCAATTATTTAATTTG